CTAAGGCCATCTGCTGTTTGACCCGGTTCTACTCATTCATTAGAAAGTTTCTGATCCTGAATGTTCCTCATGCTCCTTGATGCAGGTCTTTAGGTGTGACCTCCTCCTCTCTTCTTAAGCTGTTTTGAGCTGACCAGCAGTGAAGAACTTTGAGCAGAAGGGTGAGAATGAATCGACTGGCTGATAGGGAGACTTAGGGAGAAAGAGAACAAGGTAGATCAACCATTACTGAATGCATTCTGTGGGTGGCCAACTTCCTCTTGTTTGGAGGACCATCTGCAGGTAGAATGCCACAAAAGGAGGATCTAAAGGCGTGAATCTGGTGTTAAAATAGTGACGTTTATGGCTGTGAGGAGACAAAGGGGTCAAAACCACACAGTCCTCTGAGAATGTCAGAAAGGATGGAGGACCTCTGTGGAAAGGTCTGGAAGGAGAACACAATCAGGAGCCCATTCATTCAAATGCTCTTTTCTTTTTCCAGATGGCGTTCTGGGAGAGCTATAAAGACAGTCACGGTAAGAAAAGTCTTTGTTTTCCATCCTTCAGGCTGAGCTCCATGAACACATCAATCTTTAGAAGTTCAATCAGTTTCTCTGTGCTGAAGGCAACAAGGTTCTAGAAGTTAAAAACTAGAGCAGTTTCTCTCTATAAGTCCGTTCAGAACCATCAGGGTCTCCTTTCATGGAACAGGGTTACCTACAACATTCCTGACAGAGATCCCAGGCAGACTTTATGATTTACAATAACAAGCTAAACTGAAAACTGTTCTCAGATCAGATGAGACCATAAGGCAGTGGACACTTCTCTGGTTCCCCTGCATAAGGCATGGTGGTGGCAGTATGATGCCCTTTTTTCAGCAGGGACAGGAAATGGTCAGATTATTTTAGGAGGACCTGAATTCACTCAGTCTACCTCACCTTCCATCCACTCAGAGAAAAGCAGACATGGATAACATCTCATGGACGCCTTGATGATCCAAGGAGAAGATGGAATAATTCGTAGTGTAGTTTTAATCCTTTTTTCCCCTCAGAAGGGAATCAGGAAACTTGTCTCTTTGTTTGATTGCTGTGAATCTGACTCTGTCCTTGTTTTCCTGGTCTGGTGCTTTTCCTTATGAGCCAACAGGGGTGGACTGTTGAGGAGGGCAATCCAGATCTGGAAAGTAGAAAGCCTACGCAGAGATCAGGTAGATTAAGGAGACAAGGACCTATCAGAATGAAGGGTACCTAGCAAGGGTTCCCTTTCTCGACCATGTGGACTTTCTATAAACCTCTGAGAACTCAGTCTACACCAGCCTGTCTCTAAGTGTAACCAGCCCCCACCAGGTTAGACTGATGTTATTGCATAGATTTTCTTGTGCACTGAGAATGCATAAGCAGCTTAGAGGGATCATTGATCGGAGACACTGATCCTCATTCCGGCTGATTAACACTCATCTGCAAACCGCTTCAGCGAGAGTGATACACTCCCGACAGGTCCTCCTGAAGAACACAGTCGAATGCCTTCACCAACTCCATAAAGCAGGTGTAGACTAGTTGGGCAAACTCCCGATACCCTGCCGGATCCTTCTGAGGGTGAAGTTTTGGCCCAGTGTTCCACGACCAGGACAAAAACTACACTGCTCTTCCTGACTATCAGACAGACCATCCTCTCCAGAACCCCTGAATAGACCTGACCCAGGGAGGCTTAGGCCTGGTTCAGGCTCAGAAACCAGGTAGTCTGCGTGTGTGTTGCTGTTAACGCAGATATACCCCCCTCTTCCGCGAACACTCACGGGTGAACTGTGTGTTGTCTGGCGTTGGATGAGGGGTTGTAGACGGCGAACAAGCTCGTCATACCGACACACAAACACCCACAATCCTAGCTAGCTCCTGATTGTCCCTCTTTCATTGTGGCGTGGAATAACATAGCACAGACCACGCTTCAATATTGGGCATAAATAAAATATATCTGCGTTACACCTGCAACAAGCAAACTGCCACACACTGCTGCACGAGGATAACCAGCCCTTTAAGAATGTGATCCCTCTGTAGTTGGAGCACTCCCTCCCTTTCTGAATGGGGGAACTACAACCTGGTCTGCCAATCCAGGGGAGCTGCCCCTGCTATCCATGCAATATTGCAGAGTCATGTTAAATAACACAACCACACAATATTTAGAGCCTTAAGAGGGCCTTGCCACTGGGGAGCTTTTTTGTCTGCCTGACTCAAAGGCAGCAGGCTTTGCTTTCTCTATGGAAGACATGCTGACAATCCTTGGTGAGCATGCAAACGTCCAATGAGAGAACACCTCTCAGGTTCAGGTCAGAGGCCGGGCTCTCACCAGGATTTTCTTATAAGCATTGGGAGGTTAAACCTCTTCTGTCAGGGCTGTAGAGTCACCTGCCTTGGTGAGCCAGTCATAACGGTGCAGGGTTCACAGCGCATCCCTCATATGTCCAAGTAAAGAGGTCAATTTGTTTATGGACAATGTTTCTGATGCCACTAAGCTCATTAATAGTCAGGGATCAGCATAATCCCATTGTACCTCAGCAAAACCTCCCCAGTGAACAGAAAGGAATCCAATCAAGGTCAGAGAAACAGTTCAGAAGAGGAAGGTTCTGAGATCCAGAGTCCGTAGACCGGTCAGGGGTTTTGATCAGAACAGGAACAGACAGATCCAGGGTTCCATGAGTCCACAGAAAGTCTGAGAAGGTTCAGGGTTCCAGCAAAACCAGTGTCAGTGCTAGACGATGCTGGGGGGAAGCCCAGATGTTAGTGAAAGGGCCACTACACTCATAGAAAATGAGCCTGTTAGCCAGAGCATCTAGGTGATTAGTTTTTTTTTTTTTTGGAACACAACAGCCCGTAATACTGATATACTCTGGTGAAAAAACTGGGTTAAGGGTCCGTCTGAACCAAAAGTGTCACTGTAATTGCCAACGTGTGCTTTGAAACCCCCCCAGAGCAAGGGGCCTCTAGCAGGGGCACTATTCAATACCCCCACCGAGAACTTCAAAAAGAGTGGGTAATCTGAACTGCTGTTTGAGGTAAAACAATGTCCCAAACAGTAAAATAGGTAAAAAAAAAAAAAAAAAAACTGAATTATTGATATCACATTGGAGAAATTCACCTCTGCATTTTAACCCTTCCCCTTGGGGAGCACTGGGCTGCCACTGTGCGGCGCCTGGGGAGTAGTGTGGGGTCAAGGGTCTTGCTCAGGGACCCAGAGTGCAGGCAGTAGGATTCGAACCGGTCTGTACTCAGTGTAGTCCTGTTTCTCTGACTGTGACTAACTCTCTTCATCCTCTGACATTGGCGCTATAGACTTGAATAAAACCCAACTAAGATGTAGAAATCTATATCAACAGTGAATGATACCCAATAACCCCAATAATCTTTTGTTCTGTCTGCTAAGAAAAGACTCAAATAAAGCAGGATATTCAATGTTTGGCAGCACCTTCGAAATTCGCACATCCACTGATCTACTGACATAGAGCCGAATGTTATGACCTGATCTTTGGTCAAGAATTCGTACACTAGCTAGAAGTTCCAGGACTTTTTGTTCCTAGCATAGAAATCATGTAAAAAAGCTTGAGGCACATTGCTGTAGTCTCTGTTTGTAACCAGTTTTCTGTTTGTGCAGCAAATGTGACCAAGGTGGATGTTTCTGGGCTGGTGGCGGGAATCCTGGCCATCGTCGTCACAGCGGTTATGATCACTGTGCTGGGAATCTACTGCTGCAAGAACCAGAAGAAACCCAGGACCAGATCAGGCCGGTATGTTTGTCATTTCACTGGTAGGGATCTAAGCTTTGATCAGCTGACCCAGAGGTTTGGGAGCTGCTGTCTGCATGCCCCAGGCCAGCTGTGGCTACGGTGTAGCCCTCCACCATCAGCCAATGTAATGTTAGGTGCAGTGTTGTTCCTAGACTGGACAAAGCTCTTTGTGGACTTTTCACGTTTTCATGAATAACGAAAGGGGTCGTCATGGAGACAGATGCTGCTGAAAACCAGATGTGTCTAAAGGGTGAATCTCTTCTCCGTTGAATAAATGAGCTCCAATTAAAGAAGGATTCTCCATGTGGTGTTATCGCTTCATTTATATTTGCTCTAACATGCAACATTCAGCATGTAGAGAATATTATTTCTGTCCATTTTAGATTAAAATAAAACTTCCTTTTGGGCCAGTTTTTAATTTCTATAAAGGCCAATGTTCTGACTGCTGCTTTACGAATCAACATTCTCAGTTCTCTACTTGATTCCTGTTTCCTTCTGCTCCAGAGTTCCAGTAAGACTGGCAGAAGATGGATCCAGACTCCCAGAGGGAGTTCCCCTGTCTACAGTGGTGATCCCACCTCCACCGTTACCCAGCTACAACGAGGCTTTGACCCGCAGTGGGCAGCATGATGCCCCACCGCCACCTTATTCAGGGTGAGTGTGCTCAGTAGGTCCGCCATTAGGCCTTAGTTGAGCCCAGCCCTGGGTCAAAGGAAAGTAGGAACCTGCAGTTTAAGGAGGCAGATTAGGCTTCACAACTATAAATGTCAATGAAAAGCTTCTGTTCAAGACTAATCAGAAATAGGAGGGAACTTAAGGAGCGATGTTGCACCTTCTGTTTGAGCGTGCAGGAACCAATTCAAGCGCGCAGTGAGATGATGCGGTCAACTCTGAAAAACTCTTCTCAAACTACGGTCCTTCTAATGAGCTCAGACTGTAGGACCCAATATTCAAGGTGAGACAGGCAGTTGGAAAATTCAAAACGTTTATTAAAAAATATGAAACGCAGAGCTGTGGATCTGCAGCGGCTGCTGGGGGAGAGGGGCATCCCCCATCACTGGCAGCTCTGGTTAGGGAGAAACACAAGTGACGATGATAATCTGATGGAAGATTATTATCCATTAGAGTCATTTACCTGGTTCAACAGTTCAGTTCCTCCTCTCAGAGTGAGGCAGGAGTGAGGCAGGATCCAGCCGATGGACTGCCAAAGGAGATGCAGCGGGAGCTGCCCAGAGTGAACCAGATGTTGCAGCCCGAGTGAACAGGCAGGAATCCAAGCCAGGTCAGGGAAAAAGTTCGGAACAGGAAGGTTGTGAGATCAGGAGTCTGTAGCCCGGTGAGGGGTTTTGATCAGAACACGAAAAGAATCAGATCCAGGGTTCCATGAGTCCAACAGAGAGTTTAGGCAGGTTTAGGGTTCCGTGAGTATGCAGAGAGTTCAGGCAGGTTCATGGTTCTGTGAGTCTGCAGAGAGATCCAGCA